AATGACGCCATTCAATAATCCTCAAAAAATTCCTTGGTTACAATCAATGTCCATGTTATCTTCGGCAGAACTCTCTTCTAAAAGTTGATAGTCAATACATTTCCCGTACCATTAAAAAATGTTCAAGTTGTCATTTGTACAAAGCATATTCTGTGAATATGAGACTGTACGCGCTTTGACTTGTTAAGAGGTCAAAGTTTCACCTTTAAGTGCATGTTTAGAAACAAGCCCGATCTCCGACCTTTTGTCTGTCGGTCCTTTGCTATAACAACTAGGATAGTTGGTAAAATAATTGGACGTCTGTGTGTTTTTTCTCTCTTCTTATTTCTTTTATTCTCGTCCAGATGGCCCAGAAATATTGAAAGAGTTCCTAATCTATCAACACCATCTCATTTCCTTGCCTGTCAACGTTGTGTGTGTTTAAGATGACGGCTTGCGTGTACCTTGGGGTACCTGCCAGTCACTTGTTGGGGGTGGGGAGAGAGGAAAAGGCAGGGCGAGGACCTACCTTAGATCAACAACAAATGAAAAGCAAGGAGACAACTTCTCATTACTAGCAATAGAAGTAAAACGGCCCGAAACACAATACGAACGTTTGGATTCTTATCAAACCTTTTCTTCGCTTAAGACCCTGTCACCCACGAATCACTAAATACCATCACAATTTCCAGCTCTGATAGCCTCAACGCCGTCGTCTACTGACTTCATGTTCCGCTTCATTGCTGTAGCCCAGGTGAAAGAAGTAAATATTGACTTTACAATCCAATGTCATTTAAGTCGTGTAGATTATCATGAATTTAAAGCAGATGTGTCAGTTGTGGTAAGAGTGGTTGGGGAAAAGCTGATGATTTTTGCCAATGCTTGGGACCACCATCACTAATAATTCACCGCCACAAAGTCTTTAATGGGTTTGATTTTTATATTAGGGGTTCTCTGGCAATAATGTTAATTCCAGGCGATATTTGGTATATTAAATGTCTATAGGAAAAAAAAAGGTTCGTTCCTGTAAATATTTGACCTAATGTCAAATTTCACAATGGTAAGGATTGCAAATAAATATTTAATGGACAATGCCATCTTTGGAATGAATCCATATTCACAGAAATCCTCCAAAGAAATGAACCTAACTGTCGATATTTACTAAGCTTAGTTTAATGTTATTTTTTTTATTTATTTTTTAATCAGTTCACCCGACCCAAGGGGCTACTGGTAGTGGAAAAGAATGAGAAAACTTTGGAAGGAACTGGAAACCCAATCCTAAACACGAAACAATGGATAGACCTCTACTCCTGTTCAAAAGACTGCAAAGGAGTGTGAACCGGGCGATAGGCGAACCTATCTACTCCTATTAAACACAAAGTTATAATGGTGAAAGGCATGTGTGGATCGAACTTACTACACTAGTTTTCCAGCCTAAATTGCTGTCTTCTTATTTAATTCGAGTGAACTGGTTAACACTAAGGATGTTTAGTGTTTAAAGGCACGGAACGAAAAATCATCGACCAGTGTTCAAATTCATGATCGGTACGTTCAATTTCGCACGAATACCATTGGGAAAGGGAAGAATCCATCTCTTATTCCTTCCAGACTGGACACTGTCCGTAGCTGGCAACCAGTATAGAAGATAAAGAACTGGCGGGGCACATACTTAAACTGTAACTAAGGTCTGCTCAGCATAGTTTCAGTGTAAACTACAAGTTGGAACTGAGGGTGTTAGAGAAACGCAGATGTGCCTGAGCAGATGGGTATGCGCAGAATTGAGCTGCCAGGCGAAAAATGAAAAATCACACTGATTTGAAGTGTGTGTTCAAGTCGAAACTGCTCCGATGATGATTGTGGGAATAAAATAAGCACATCCTATCTCACTTCTCGCTTGTAATAATCCATCATAAAAAATAAACGTTTTTTTCAGCACTAAAGCAGAATGTGTCAAACAAAGCTTCATATGCTTCTACTTAGAGTTGTCACTATATTACAAGGATAATGATAGTTAACACTATTAAAATTTTTTTCATTCTTCTCTCCCGATGTGGTATGGGGAATAATATTTACTTGTCCCACTGTTTTTCATTTGCTTTCATATTGAAAGTACAATTCAATAGTAGTAGTCACAGCTACTGCAGTATTCAGCTAACCAGCTGATCCAAGCTGTTGTAGTTGACCGTGTCGCTTATCCGCCATCGATCAGTGCATATCAAGCTAATGTATTCATCTATTGATTCTTGTCTGTCTATGCTACTGGAGAGCTGTTGCCTGCACCAGTTTTTTTTTCCATTGGGGTTTGCTCTTCTAGGTGACTAAAGATTTGTCTGGCTCCTACTAATGACCAACCGACCAGGTTGAACATTTCGCCAGCATAGTTCTACCAGTTAAAAGCGCAGATAAACTCCTCTCCATCGTTTCATGAGTAGCTCGCTAATAATCAGCTTAAGTCATGCATCTTAATTATTTACTGAATTTAATTTAGTTTGATAATAGCAAGGGACATCGAGTGAGGATTGAATTTACCACGCTAGGGACATGGTATGTAAGACAACATTGGTTATCAGCGCAATATATTATGCGCACACTATTCGTAAGACCAGTATGACAGAGCACTGAATGATCCAAAGGCAATTCTATAAAGTAGAGAAAATAGGCGAATTTATCTAACATTAAAGAAATAAAATAATATGGTTTCAATATTCATTATAGATAATTACCACTGGTTATTTTTAAATGTATGTCCTGAAAATAACGATTCAATATATCTAATCTATAATTAAAAACGATTCAATATATCTAATTTATAATTAAAAACTACAATTTTGGAAAGTGAAAATTTCACTGAAATATGCTGGAGAATCTTCAAGTTTTCATCTTAATTCAAGATAATGGTCACACTATGAGAGGTACGGTGGAGTAATGGATTGAGGAACCGGGGAGTCGAGTTCGAATTCCAGTCGAATCCATTGCATTCACTTACGTGCTAATACCGTTGGGAAAGGTATGAATCCTCTTCTCTCCTACCAGCTATGGGTAAATAGCAGGATAGGCCGGGTTTTATAGCCTTCGATGGTAGCTGATCTACCGCAGAAAGAAATGGCAACCTACCTAAAAAATCTTCCTCGTAAGTCATGTATCGAAAGATACATGATCGCTTAAGCGTGTATCACGCATGGCACATAACTGACTGATATAAAAAAAAAAGAAGGCGTTAGTTTAATCTGATGCTAGGAAGATATGGTTTAAAGACTCCAAATTGATTAGAAGCATAACTGAATTTTTGGTGAAAGGAAAAAATATCGAATGAATACGTTAGTGAAAATATGAAGTTAACTGAAATTTGACAGAAGATCATGGAACGAACCAATAAATATGATGTACAAAAAAGTTAGTGACGAAAAATTAAAACATATACAATTTCTTTAATTTAATGAACCGAACTAAAATTTGAGCCGCTCAACAATATTTACTAAACTATTACGGGCACATAAGGTACCAGTATAAATTTAGTAAATAGCGTTGAAATTTATCGATTCGTTCCACTATCTTCTGTCTTCTTTCAGTTAACTTTGTATTTTCATCATCTCAGAACCTTTGTCTTAACAAAGAATTACTCTAGGTGTCGTTTGCAGTCTTTCAGGAAATCTTTTTTTATTAAAAGAATTCAGGTGAAGCTGAATTGTTAAGCCGATCGTTCAACAAATACGGCAGATGAATGAAACCTTCCTCGTCAAACTGTAATAAAATTTTCCTGGTCACCAAAGAAACTTAAAGTCTAGTGTTATCTTATAATGAAACATTTCACCTTTACTTTTTTCCGAGTACTTTTTGTTAATTGCTGTTTTCAATTGGTCTAATTGCAAGCATTACTTGTTCGGATTTCAGTGTAGGTATGTATGTACAAAAGAGAACTGGAGCGATCTCACCCTGATCAACTTTTTAAAATCAGTAATGTAACCCTCTGTTATTACTGTAGAGTTCGGACACAGTATTAGTACCATGGGGTTTTCTAACAGTTCATTTAAAGTATTACCTGCTACATGATTTAGTTCTTAATTTTTTGCTATATATTGATGTGAATGTTTTTTCTATTTTCTTATAAGATAAATAAAGTGAAAAATGTTTCATTTTGAAAGCACGAATTATAAAATGAATTTATACATTTAAAAATTCAAATACGCAAATCTAATTTCATTTTACACTATTTACATTAGACTGTTGTCTTCATCTTTGTTGTCATATTCACGACGTCTCGGCAGCTGTACGCTCCGACCTTCTTCAGGTGATTGGAATTTCGAACCGGACCCTTTATTTTGTCCACTGGGGTAGATTGTTCTAGTTCCATGTACCGTGCCTCTTCCGGATATCATAGTTTCAGTTTCAGTTATTTCCATTTAGTAGCTCAACTTTCCAAATTTTGTTCACATTTGTTGTAGCCAGCTATTGAACTTACAACTGTTTGGGTCAAGTCACTGGATTACTTTAACCAACGATTTATCATCTGCGGTAGATTGTTCTTGTTCCATGTGCCATGCCTCTTCCGGATATTTCGGTTCGAAATTCCAATCACCTGGCGAAGACTGGCGCATACAACGGCCGAAACGTCGTGAATATGACAACAAAGATGAGCACGGCTGTCCGAACTGTAAGGGTAAATCGATACGATACCTCCTTTCAGAAATATAGACAGTTTTATTTCATTTCCAGTGCTTGTTACTCAAACAAATATTACAACTAAAACCAGAAATTCTTTGTAGGTTTGTAACGTTGCGGCCGTGGGAAAGCGGCTACAGTGGAAAATAAATAAGTATTTCCCCGCAAGATCACTTAAACGATTTTAAACTCTGTTCTCACTTTTCAACACTGGTAGAGTTTAAAATCATTTATGTGATCTTGTGGGCGAAGACCTTTTCTACTCCACAAACGCAACTTTACAAGCTGCTCTATCGCTATTTCCATGGCGAGTGTTCACGTCAGCTCCATTCTTTAGTATCATCTGTTCCTACCTGTACAGGTAAAAACACTGGTTCACGTACAATCACCGAAGTTAAGTATAATTGAGCCTGGTTAATACCTAGATAGGTGACCGCTTGGGAATACACGGTGCTGTAAGCTTGAATGTGCAGGTGGTGTAATGAATGATAGCTCGCAATTGGAAGTCGGAAAGCGGTGTTCTAATTCCGGTTGGGTTCGTTATTTTCACTTATGCGCAGGTACCCTTGGTAGAGGTATGAATCCACCTTTTCACTCCTCCAACTGTAGGTTGATTAGTCGGACTTGCATCAATGAATCATTATTATCTTCCAAAACATACAATCTAAACATAGTTTGTAACTTTATATAACTTGCAAATGGATGATAAACTTTAAAAGTCATCACTGAACCAATCAATCATACCTTTACAACTAGGGAACGCTATACTAATTCTACGGAGTGAAACCACCCCTATTTGCCCTGTGTTTCAAGTGTAAGAAATTCCATTTAGACAGCTTTCTCCCAAGAACTGCCATTTTGCGGAAGAGACACCCGCGTGGGTGCATCCATAGACATTTTAACCTTGGCCTTTTCAAGTCAAAGGTCAATCGTTGTCTATCTTCCTTATCCTCATAATCTATACTTCTTAGCATCTACACTTTTATTCATATCACATTGTTATTTTAACAGTAACTTTCTACTATGCGTGGCTCTAGAATCTTGTATTGGGTGTATCCTAGACTTTAAAAAATTACTTGACAGAGATATTCAGATATCTACTTGACATAGGTATTCAAATATTAATGGAAAACATTCTGTGGGGGTGTTCAAGCCCCCCCCCCTACACTATCAAAGGAAGGTTAATGACTAATCATCGGAATACCGATTTGGGAAAATGGATGAAGCCGAGAACTTTTATCTGCCTACATGCACATAGATAATTCTGACTGATATACACTGCGTGCCAAATTATTATCGAGATAACTTTTTTCTAATATTTCAAAAACCGTCCAATCAATTCACACAATGTTGGCAACACTGAGCTGCGCAATCACTGAAATTTTCGTACTGATCTGCGCAATGTAAACAAACTGGCGCCATATTTGTTATCAGCACGGTGATTTGACCGTGCCAAATTATTAGAAAAGTATAAGAATTTAGTGAAAAGATGGGCCCTAAAGGCAGTTTAAGTGATGCTGAAAAGAAAACTATTACCTCAGAACTCTCAAAAGGTAAATCTACCCTAGAAAGTTTTAAAATGATAGGGTAGTGTCATCAAACAGTGAAAAATATTGACTTCTCTAAAGTTTTGTTCACAGACGAAACTCGAGCAACACTTGATGGGCCAAATAGATGGTGCAAAGGCTGGGTAATGAATGGACAGAATCGCCATCAGCGTTTGAGACTCCAACAAGGCGGTGGAGGCATAATGATCTGGGGTGGTATTATTGGAAACACATTAGTGGGCCTATGGAGAGTACCAGATGGCGTCAAAATGACTGCTGATGCATACATAGCGTTTATGAAGGAGCATCTTGAACCGTGGATGAAAAGGCAAAGAGTTGCCTTCAGAAGGGCCATTGTTTTTTATGCACGATAATGCTCCCTCACACGCTGCTCACAAGACTACTGAATATTTGAAACAGTTAGGCTTCGATGGACCTCGAAAAATGAAGTAGCCAGCAAATTCTCCGGATTTGAACTCAGTCGAAAACCTTTGGAGCATCATGAAGCGAAGACTGTACGCCAACGGACGACAATTCAGGAGCAACGCTGAGTTGTGGGAAGCAATTCTTGACATATCTCGCAGCATTACAGCAGATGACATCCTACAATTAACAAATTCTATGGACCGTCGACTTTTTCAAGTAATTTTAAAACAGGGAAAGCACATTCCTTATTAATTTGTTTAAAACTGTGCCTTTGTTTGTGTCTGTTATTATTTGTTTGATTATCTTATTTATTAGCTTCTTTTGATCATAAACATTCATGTTCAACATTAATAAACGTTTTGTTTGCTCAATTCTGGGAATTTTACTAAACCTTTCTAATAATTTGGCACGCTCAAATCACCGTGTTGATAACAAATATGGCGCCAGTTTGTTTATATTGCGCATATCAATACGAAAATTTCAGTGATTGCGCAGCTCAGTGTTGTCAACATTGTGTGAATTGATTGGACGATTTTTGAAATATTAGAAAAAAGTTATCGCGATTATAATTTGGCACGCAGTGTAAACAAGGCTTCAGAATCTTTTTTACCCTGATATAGCAAACAGATTATTTTCTAATAACGATAATAATATGGCAGCGACTTTATATTTATTTCTCTCTTCTTTTTTTTCACACATATAAACGTTCGTCTACACATTTGGTTCAATCCGCCATCTTTATTTTCTTACTATAACATTTCAAATTGTCGCCCGGTGTACATTACCGATAATAAAAGCGGTAGGCAAAGATGGTGCATCCGTGATACCAGCAAAGCCTCACTGTCTCTATTCATAGAATGAAACTGAATGTGCAGCGCCACGAGGCATGACCTTCCAACTAAACTATTAGTTCAGCTATAAGCAGACGTTGTATAAGAAATGTCTCGACATCTCTCTCTCTCTCTCTCTCTCTCTCTCTCTCTCTCTCTCACTCTTTCTTTATGTCTGTTTTTTTCTGCTGTGTTCAAGCTCCGTGACTTGGCCGCCTGGGTCGTTGTTCCTGGAAGGCATGACAAACAAAACACTCAGTGAAAAAAGAGCTTCTAGATTAAAAAAAAAAAAAGATACAGAATTTTCATCGCTTTCTCTCTCTTTTTTCTCTTTCTCTCTTTCTATCGCACTCTCATTCAACCATTTATTTCACTCTTTCTTTCAATCTATCTGTACCAGTCAGTTCATATCTATCTTAATCTATCGGTGGACAAAGATGTTTTCCCCATTCATTCGATAAATTAGTATTTTTTAAGTCTACACTATAGTCAGCATTTGAACCTCACCTTATCTATCTATCTATCTATCTATCTATCTATCTATCTATCTATCTATCTATCTAATTCTATTAATGCCTATCTCTCTCTATCTTTCTAATTATATTAATACCTCTTACTCTTTTTCTATCTATCTTTACAAAGTCAATTTCCAGTGAGGTCATGTCGCAACCTTCAGTTTGTTCAATAAATGAAGCCTTGAAGTTATAAATTTTAGCTTAGTCAGACAGAAAAACGATAGCAAATGGACACCCAGTCAGAATCGAACTCACTTCACAAGTAAGTGATTATTGTGTTTATCTACTAAGTTACACTTGGTTTGGTACCAGGCTACAACAATGAAGATCCAAATCTTTAGATTAATCGGTTTGCGTGGGAACAATGAACGGCTGTACTCTCAAAAAGGCTGCATGCTTTAGACATCTATTTGGATTCAAGTTCACTCCAGACGTCGGTAAAGATGCTGTAAAAATGGTCGGCTCATTCTAATGATCCAGAAAGAATCTGACTCCTGTCACGCTTTATCTTTTCAAGAGTCAGATTACGCCAGAACTGGAATATTGCTGCCATGTCTGGACTGGAGCTGATTGAATTCAAAATCTTTTTTTGCAGTCTTGCGACGGAAGACTTATTCTCCTTTTTTGCAAACTGTTTCCCGAAGACGCAAATTCTAAACCTATTCTTATAACGCTATTCCGATGGCAAATATTCAGATGCGCTATACACTTAAATTTAACGAGTTCAGACCTTTATAACTAGGATACTACGTCCATGAAATCGAATCACTCACATTTTCACCATATTACAATTGTAAGGAAGAAATTCCACTTAGTTTTTTCCCAAGAAATGGAACATTGTGAAACGAATTCTCGCGTGGATGGCTCCCTGAACACTACAAACTTAACCTTTTCAATTTAAGGGTCAATCGCTATATATCGTCCTTATATTCAAAATCTTCACATATTTCTACCTTCTCTTACATTGTACCACGCACCTTTTTCAGTAACTTGAGTGGCTATTGAGCCTTGTATTGATTGAAATTTAATAAAAAAAAAAGTAAATTACTGATGATCACCCTACAGTAAGCATCTTAATGAGTAATGATTTGATCTAAACTTGGTTTAGTAATCTGTACGTATGGTGATTTTCTAAGAGTAGATTAGATGTGATATAAGGCCGTAAGTATGGGGTACCCAGTGAGGGTCGAACTCACTACTCAGTTATAATTGTTCTAGTAAGACAACCTCGTCGAGGTGCTCATAATCTGTACGTATTAATCATTGTTTTGTTATCGCAACGTTTCTATGTTTATATAAAATCGTAAAAAACGCTGCCATTTTCCGTGTCTTTCATACGTATATATATATATATATATATATATATATATATATATATATATATATATATATATATATATATATATATATATATGTACAGAGTGTTGCAGAAATAGCTCCCACATAATGGTAAGGCATTAGCTAGATGAAGACACCATTGTCACTAATGTTTTACAATTAAGTGCGAGATATTTATATATATATATATATATATATATATGTACAGAGTGCTGCAGAAATAGCTCCCACATAATGGTAAGACATTAGCTAGATGAAGACACCATTGTCACTAATGTTTTACAATTAAGTGCGAGATATTTCTGGGAGGTATATGTGGGAGATATTTCTGCCACACGCTATATATATATATATATATATATATATATATATATATACATCAGGCAGCCTGACGATTGCGTCTAGCATGAAACAGCCTGTCGTCTCTGAGTGTTGACTTCAATGTTCACTTTATATTTATATTTACATACGCTCTATCTCTGATATTGAGCACTTTATCCCATAAATATAGCACACTTTAAAACTATATTTCTGCATGCATATATATATATATATATATATATATATATATATATATATATATATATATATATATATATATATATCACTCAGTTCGTATCTATTTGTTCATCATTTATCCAGTTCTATTCATGTCTGCTTCATCTCCCATTTTAGCCTCGTTTTCATTATTCTCTTTTCATTTTTTTTTCGTTTTTCATCCTTGTTCCCCTTGTTCAATTATTTAACACTCCATTCCGTAATAGGACAGGCCCCTCAGGAATGCCGTATGAAATAGAAGCCTGTACGCTTGTGAACAGAGTGTTTACCTCCTATTCATCTTGCTATTGTTCATCACAGCACAAATGAGCCAATACATTTTATCTGACGTTAACCCTTTAAAATCGAATACCCCAAAACTCTGTCATTTATGTTATGGGACAAACAATTAGTAACACACACACACACACACACACACACACACACACACACACACACACACACACACACACATATATATATATATATATATATATATATATATAGAAAGCAACCTTTCTTTTATAAATGTTTCATTGAATGTGACGGAGAAGGAAAAATTTATAAGTTTTTTGTTTAGTTTTTCTAATGTTCTTATAGATTTTCTTTTATGGGGAATAAATAATTCTAAGCCGTGCTGGAAAGAAATAGTTATAATTTTAGATAGAGGTGTCTTTAAAAGTCCGCCGATACATTTTGCCTTTTTCAAATAGGGTAAGGTTCAGACTTGGGTTATATTTAATTACTATTACACCTGCGGGGCGCTAATTGAGCTTCCGATTCAAAATTAAAGGGACCTCTGGTCCTGCTTAGAAAACAGCAATGGTAATTTTGAAGAAACAATACTGGAACTTCAAAACCTCCCTTTAATTCCGAAATTTCAATTCAAACCGAAAATTGAGTTCTTCAAATCATAAACTCTGCAGAATTTCAAAACCTCACGTCACGAAACCTCTCACTTTAACTCTAATTTCTTGGCATTTTGAAAGAATAAAATTGATTTCCTCAATTCTCAAAATTTTGGAGATATTTTAAACTGAATTTAAAACACATTTTTAAATTCACAAAGTTTTTGTGTTACCTTAAACTTAATATAAATTAAAAACTTTTAAAATCATTATTTTTTTTTCAGTTATTTTAAAATTTGAATTTTTAACTGTTCCCTTCTCATCCGGACAAAAATCCCAATGTTAGATGTTCAAGCTCCAGATGAAGGACACATTTTCAACCCCGGGATAATTCTGGTTCCATAAAGGTATAATATGTCTATGTAGAGCAAGTATGACCCGAGTTAGATGGATTTCAAACACATGGACGGACAGAGAGACGTTTATTTATTTTGAAGATATGCGTCATCCGTCGGTTTCTAGAGAACATGGATCTACGTTCCAAAAGTTATGCCTACTGCTGATGGCAGGGCAGCATCTTTTATGACCGTAGAGGCCCACACAAGAGTAACGGTCTTAGTTGCAACTAATGCATGTGAAGACGATCTCATCCCAGCGACAAGACCCCATTTTTTCTCTCCTCGCTTCAGCAATCGATGTAAATCACGTCTCCAGAGTGAGCGATTATTGGTGACATTTTCCGACCTCTTGATGTCCAAGTCTAACGCCCTCATGTCCCTTTTGCAGAAGAAGAGGTCGCCCTTCGTGATAATGGGTGTATATATATCTTTTGCATAACTGATTGATTGATTTTTTACAGCTTATCAAACCTTTTACAGGTTATTAAATGAAAGAGAATATTTTTAACTTCTAAGAATCTTTTAGAGATAATAAGGATTTATTGATACAAGTTCTACTAATTAAACCATAGCTGGAGATTCATACTTTTCCCAAGTGTATTTGCGCGTAACTGTATATAACGGACCTGACTGGAATCGAAACTCGGCTCTGCGATTTCAAATTTCGAGCCGTAATCCATTACATTTCTCGTACATCTAAGCTCCCAGCACCTGGTATTCCTAAGCGGTCAATCATCTAAGTACTGATTAGGCCCGACGTTGCTTAACTTCGGTGATCGTCCGAGAATTGGTGTTTCAGCGTCATATGTCCATAAGCCTTTTTTTTTATATGTAAAATCGGTTTGTGTATTTGTAAAATCCTCGGTAACCAAGCGTATTGAGATACTGGCTGATGGACAGATATTGACCATTTAGTTAATAGATTTGGTTAATAGATTTGGGGACACACAACACGTGAGATTTGGAGTTCAGATTAAGAAATGGAAACGGAAAAGAACAAGAACAAGACAGTCAGAAGGAGTGTTGAGTTGAACGATGTTCGGACGGAGCAGGCTTTCTGGGTGGGAGAAAATGCTTGTAAATCTCTTTGGGAGGGGGTGGGAACCTACACAGAAATTGTTGAATGATGATGTTGATGGCGTAAATGTAATTTGATGGATTTTCGACATTTTCTTAGAGGTCAAAAGAGTCACGTTGGGGTCAATTGATATATGAATGTGGAGCTAAACGAGAGAAGTGTGAGAAAGAAGTGAGGTTAGCCGCCGGTAAGAGAGAGAGAGAGAAAGATAGAGAGAGAGAGAGAGAAAGATAGAGAGAGAGGAGGAGAAAGAGAGAGAGGGAGAGAGAGAGGAGGAGAAAGAGAGAGAGGGAGAGAGAGAGAGGGGAGAAAGAGAGAGAGGGGGGAGAAAGAGAGAGAGAGGGGGAGTAGAAAAATAAAAAGAAGTGGATAAAGAAGAAAGAAAAAAAGAAGGATAACGAAGAAAGAAAGAGATCAAAAGAGCACAAAAATGAAAGAATAAAGTAAAAGGGAAAGAAGATGGTGTTGGGAAGTTAAAGAAAGAATGAGGCAGAATGGAAGGAATAACAGAATGAATGGAATGACAGAATGAAGAGAATGACAAAATGAATGGAATAACAGAATGAAAGCAGTAAACGTTTTCTGATAACCAAGAGGAGGTGAAAGCATAAATCCCTCCAGCTATGGGTTTATTAGTAAAACTTATATCACTAAATCATTATTATCTTAAAAAAAGATCTTAAATATTTTTTTAGATTATTAAGTAATTCCTTTTGATGGTTAGTTAATTCATTGTTGGAAATATTAAATTTATCCATTTTGTTCGGGCGGTGGATAGATCCGTAATATAGAGCATTCAGTTATTTTTTTAATTTTTAATGTGTTGAAATTCTGATTTATTATTATCAGTAAGTTTATGTATAATTCATTTTATTAGATCAGGAGTAGTTGTCTATTTGAGTTTATTGTAGATGTCTTTTTTCTATTATTAACCTGGGATCCAACTGTCATCTATACCGCAAATACAGGATGACCCCAAAAAACGGGAACTTTTTAACAATCCAATAAAACCAAGAGTGATGGAAGAAAAATATTTTATTCATAGTAATTGAAATCTTAAAACCTGCCATTTAAGAAACAATGATGTAATTTTCATTTTTTAAAAATTACGTCCTGTAGATGGCGTCCTCCTGTACGAATGCATTCCTGAAATCTGCTGTTGAGATTTCTTATTGACTGCTGCAACATCTCAGCTGGGATACTGTGAATTTCATCTTGAATTCTAAATGGCGAAATGTTTACTTGCTCAAGGTCACTGTCTCGCAGAGTTGCCACTTGCTCATGTCTAGCAATACGCACTTCAAAAATTCCCGTTTTTTGTGTCACCCTATATAATAGTTTAAATTTAAGAACTGGAATAGAGATATTATATCAAAGTATAGATAACCTTCAAGAAGAGCAACTGATAACCACAGAACCAGAATTTTAGGATCTACTCAAGGCTGAGGCTATAAAAGATAGACATGGGCACCTCGACGTGGTGTAATGGTTAGAAAGCTTGTCTTGCTAGATCAATTACGACTGAGTAGTGAGTTCGATCCTCACTGGGTGCCCCATACTTTCGGCCTTGTGCCACATCTAAGCCGGGCTTAGAAAATCACTATAAAAGATAGACATGATAAAGGGAAAAGTTATTCGAAACTACTAAAAAGAGCATTAAAAATTGCTGTCAAGGAGTTCCGTAAACATCCGGATGTTATTGTTAAGAAAGCAAACAACAAATATCTTTGGTAGTTTTAAACACACCTGATTATAACGAAAAAATACTTGATGATCACACCAAATTTCAAAAAGTTAACAGGAATCCTATCAATCAGCTGAAATTAAAAAGCAACAAACTAATCATAGTCAATAATGCAGAACAAGACAATTTAAAACTTCCCAAAATAATTGGTGATTATAAACCAGGTTACATTGATGGAACCATAAAAACACACAAACCAAACTTTCTTCTCCGTCTTATTATATCGCAATTCTCCACCAAAAAAAAAAATCAGAAAAATTGGTTATATTAATGAAATTATAAGAAATTAAAAAATTTGTAGGCGACAAAAATATTCGTACAACATTATAATACCTATCTATTACTTTGTAGCATATCTCTTACTCAATTCAACAGCAACCAGTCTCTTTGTGTCGCTTTTAATCAATGATTTGCAAGTTTCTGTTGGTATTTTACTCCATTCTTCTTTAAGTCTAGGATGTTTTTTCACAGCTCTTTTATTAAATTGAATTTTTAATAAACGCCACAATTCCTCTATTTGATTCAAGTCTGGATACTGTGATGGCCATTCGAGTGTAGTGACGTTGTTTTCAATAAGCCATTTTTTCGTAGATTTAGCGGTATGTTTTAGGATTATTATCTTGTTGCAAAACCCATTTATTTGGGAGTCCAAGCTTTACTACTGACCCCCAAAAATTTTAGTCCAAAACATCTTGGCATGTTTTTGATTTTTTTCTACTATCTATTATCTCTAAATTACCCGTACCAATGGCAGAACAACATCCCAAAACCATGATATTGCTACCATCAAATTTCATCGTTGGGATTGTGCTCTTCGGTGCAAAAATTTGTGTCGTCTTTTCTCCAAACGTGATGCCTTGAATTATTTCCAAATAGTTCAATTTTTGCTTCCTCTGTCAATAAAACACTTTCACAAAATGATTCAGGCTTATTCTTATGCTCACACAAAAAAAATTTAACCGGACGTCCCTATGTTTCTTCAATATTAGTGGAGTTGTCTTCTATGAAGTTCATTGTTTATTGTTCGGTTTGGAACAATAAAACTTGATGCTTTTAATTCTTCCTGTATTTCTTTCGGAGTAGTCATTGGATTTTCTTGAATTTTGCGCTGAATTATTCTCATTGATCTGGGAGAAATCTTGCGTGATACACCAAGTCTCGATTTATTCTCAACGGTTTTCACCTTTTTATACTTAGCAATAACGGAACTAATAGTAGTAAATGGTATATTTAAGATATCTGCTATTTTCCTATAGGTTTTGCCTTCCTTCCAATGTTTCATGATCAATACTTTTTGCAAATTTGACAGTTCCTTGCTTTTCCCTATGCTGATAATTATTGTGTATGATTTGTGTGCGGAGATAACCTTATATGAGAAATAAATTGCGTAATGTTCTAGATTGTTCCTGTAATGACATAATTGGAAGAATCTAGCAAAATCCTACAAAGAATTATGCAAATAAAGGTAATTTAAGCCTTTTGATATTGAAGACATATTTTGTACGAATACTTTTTTCGCCTCGAAATTTTATAAATAACACAATTTCATTTATAACAAAGTTTTCTATTTGTTTTTTGTTTTGTTTTTTTGGATATTGCAGCATTATGCAATGGTGCAGAAATATTGTATGGATTTCAATTTTTTTCATACGTTATAACTATATTAATTAAAAGATTTCATAGTGTTCAAATATTTTTATTACCCCATATATATATATATATATATATATATATATATATATATATATATAATATAAATATACATGATATCTTACATTGATTGCATAACTCATACGTTCTGTATTCGTCAGGTACATTTTAAAAACGTACCTGATGAACACAAAAACATATGAAACTTAGAGATGTGCAATCAGTGAAAGGTATGTATATTTCTTAATATATTAAATAGCTCTGTTATTTAACATTGAGCACTGTTTTTTTCTTACACTATAGAGTGTATATATATATATATATATATATATATATATATATATATATATATTTGTATACGAACGGTCGCTCGTAGATTTACCTATATTTATCAATTTAGTTTATATATATATATATATATATATATATATATATATATATATATATATATATAAAACATAAATAAAAGAAAGAACTTGATGGAGTAAGAATCTATAGTTCTTAGCATTTACTTATATATATACATTTTCAGCGTTCTTTGATTTTTCCGTTTGGTACTAGTAAGGGATTACAAAAACTATCAATATTATCCATTGTACGAAGCTCTATCTGCCACTTCCATGGCTCTTTTCAAGGGAGTTTTGCTTTGGTGTAAGTTTCTTTTAATATTTTGACTGTTTGAGATTTATTTTTGCGCTGTTTTGAATACTAGTAGAAGCGTTTATTCCGAGCCATCGCTTGTTGAGCGCGGCTACAATTCGAGTAAGCGGCTTTCTAATTCCTTGAATATATTTAGCACGGCAATTGATGGCGAGAAGAGAAATGTTTAAATATACAGGGCCTCTCTTATAGCCAGATGTGTTCGGTAATTTGATTTACATAGAGTTTTAGTGTTTTCAACTGCTATTTTTCTAAAAAGGTCTTGTAGATTGTGGGTAGATAGATGTTTTTTATTGCACTTTTCCCTGATAAGTGTCACATGAGGCGTCTACTCAAGGAGGTGGTAGTATGTCCGATATAGGTAACATTATATATATATATATATATATATATATATATCTCCAAATGAGAGAATGAGCAAATGGAGTAAAATTCCACTGTTCGTAGCATTTACTTTAAAAATGTGCTCAATACAAAGTAGAGCATTAAATGTATTTAGGAAGTGCTAGGAAGTTTTTCTCCCCTGAGTCGATCCTCCAGATATACAAATCCACAATTCGCCCTTGCATGGAGTATTGCTGCCATATATGGTCTGGCGCCCCTTCTGTTTGCCTCGGGGTTCTTGATAGGCTCCAGAAGCGGATATGTAATATGGTTGGCCCCGCCCTGG